TATATATATATATATATATATATATATATATATATATATATACATATATATATGACATTTTAAAAAGTAATTTAAAATAAATATTTATAAATATTTATCTAATAATTTACTAATATTGTATGCTGTCTAGGTTAATACTTTAAATCTTAACAGTACTTTGCGTAAGTATTTCATCACTTAGCAAAGTATTATATATTAGTATTTAAATATTGACAATGTTCTGCGTAAGTATTTTATCACTGGACGAAGTATTACATATCAAATATTTAAGTATTGAAATCAATCATAAGGTAGGATTTGTAACATTAAATATTGAAATACTTGAGTACTAAAAGCTGTATTTGAATCATAGAATATTACTAAATACTGTACTTTTAATACTGAAAATAAGTAATTAATCAATGATTCTTAGTATGATATTTCTACGAGGGTAATATAGGCAGTGGTGCGTTGTTTCTACAATCACCGCGCGCCAATATCCGTGTGCTATATTCTTAAGCCGTGAGCGCTGCTCCATCATTTAGCGTGCGTTTTTCCTTAATATTTTACAATTAATTTTTCGGTTATTACTACGAACATCGCAAAACGATATAGGACTGTTATGTCCACTTCAATCTATTCTATATTCCCATCAAATATGCGGAGGAGAGTCTGGGATACTCTGTATATATGTAAATATATACACAAAATAAATACAAATAATTTCTAACTTATCCAGCGATATGGGTTATCAACGGCAATTGTAACTGATTAAATAGTGTAAAGATGGTGTACGCGCACTTTTATATTTACATCTTTATGTGATACACTTCTGACTTGTCCAAGCTAAAATCAAAGTATAAAGACTTCGCATTATGTCAAATTAACTCAGAGAACATAGAAAAATATCACATAAAGATATAGATATAATAAAAGTACGCTCAGTCCTCCTTCATGCTGGTCAATCAATTACAACTGTCGCCAATAACTCATATTAACCTTTAGAGGACGGGGGTTTTCGGTTCAACATGACTTTTTGTTTTCACAAAAATGTATGTCTAAAAACATCGGATCACTAATTTTAGACACCCCAAGTGACAGGTGGTCTATATATGGACCACCCCCGTCTGGAATGTTACGGGCAATATAAAAAAAAATTTTTTTTCATATTTTAGCTTCAAAGTTGGTATAACCACGTTTTTTGATGCTCTGAATAAGAATAAAGTAATAAAAAAAATCCTCCAGTTTTCGCTCTTAGCTTGACCCAGGACCAACGACGTGGACATGGCGAAAATATGATCCCTTTGAGGTGCTTAATTTACGTGAGTCCCCGTGCCTCTCACGTTGGGATGCTTGATTCACGTGAGTGCCCGTGCCTCTCACGTTGGGGTGCTTGATTTACGTGAGTCCCCGTGCCTCTCACGTTGGGGTGCTTGATATTCGTAAAACCCCTTATCTCTTACTTTGCAATGTTTGATTTTAGGGTAACTCCACGTGTGATACTCTTCAAAGCAGGGTACTGCGCATAAAGGAACGTCACAAGTGGGACACATGAATGTTGTCCTTTTTTTATTTTTACGTAAAGTGCATAAATGGCACCTTCGCCTTGTAGTTTCTCGGGGAAAATGTCGACCAATCAACCTAGCAGGCGAATCATTGTTGTACGTGAAGTTTTCAGTAGGATCAACATTCAATAATGATCTAACAATCTGTAACCTGAATGACGGAAACGACATGGGCTCTTCATTTTCCATTTTATACAAAGCATGAGCATTAGTCAGGCAAAGATCAATAAGGTGCAAGAAGAGCTTCCTATACCACTTCATTGTTTTTCGCACTGACTCCGTTATAGATAATTGTCTGTCGATATTATCTATACCACCCATATTTTGATTGTAATCTTGAACACATGTTGGCTTTATAATGTCTTCTTTCGTTTTATAATGTTTTTTTCCAGTTGCGCGAAATTCAAGCTCATGCACACTTGTCAACATGCGGACACTGCGTTTATCTTCCCACTTCATTGCCATCCATGTATGGCTATGAGCTACTTGCACTTCACCTCGACCTAATTTTTTATCTAGATTTGGCATTCCCTTTCTATTCGCTTTTACCGTTCCACATATTCCAGTATCATGATCATGTAAAAAGTCAGCCAACATGGGAGATGTATACCAATTATCTATGTATATTACATGGGGTGTATATCAGTTGGACACGGGGCAATTGGACACAGTCCAATCACAAGTCGCTGTTCCAAGGGACTCTACAAATGTCTCTAATCACACGGTGCTGTGATTGGCTGTGTCCAAGTGCACCGCTCTCTATTACATGTCCCTTATAAAAATAAGGTTGTAAGAAGTGAGCAACAATATCCTCTGTGATACCCAAACCAAATTTTTCATAATTGGTGTCTGCACCTGTATAAACAATGAAGCCCAAAATAAACCCAGTTTCACAGTCTACTATCATGAAAAGCTTGATACCAAAACGATTTCTCTTCAACGGAATATATTGCTTGAATCGAAGCCTACCTTTCCATAATAAGAGACTCTCATCAATACACAGATTTTTACCTGGAATAAGAGTACCCGAGAATTTGTTTTGTAAGTGGTCTATTATTGGCTTGATTTTCTCTAAAGGATGATTTGTAATTTCTTCATTATTATGAAAGTGTAAATTTCGTAAAATTTGAAGGTATCTATCACGAGACATTATTTGAGGAAAAATCGGAGTATGTAGTAAGAGATCGGTAGACCAATAATTTTTCAACTCGCCCTTCCGGACATGTCCCATTAGGATTGAAAGCCCGAGAAACTTGTCTAGTTCATCTTTTGTAAGAGGGGTCCACGATTTCATATGGGAAGATTGTATGCTATCACTTTGAGATTCATAACGATTCGATTCATCCACAATCATTTGAAGAAGAATAGGATCACAAAAATGATTGAAATAATCTATTGGTTCATTTTCTGGTAAAGAAATATTTCGATTTATTCTAGAATTACCGTTGAAGTTTTTTATTGATGGATAAAAATCCGCATCTTCAAAAAATTCACTTCCATCATAATCATTTTCCGAAATAATAATATCAGTATTTTCATTTTCTAAATCTTGTTCTTCTGGTTCAGACTCTCCACTGCTCCAAGTATTATTTTCATTCATTTTTTCAAAAATAATATATTTGTAATCAACAACAGTGAGAAATAAACGTGGGATGAAACGATTACAATCGTACTCCAGTGGAAAAAATCACATAGAAATATCGAATTCTCCTACCCAATTATTCAAAGTATATAAGTACTACGAAGAATCCACTTTACTTGTGGAGCATTGGCAGCCACCTAGCGGTCCATCAACGAACTACTTCAAAGCAGAGTTCAAAACTAATGGAAAAATGTTTGAGTAATTTTTTTGCAGATAGGGTATCAATAGATATGGATATAGTATTTTTAAGCTTAAAGCTTAAAGCTAAGTAGCGAAAAAAATAAATTGACCTTGAAATCGTAATCAACAAGGTCAAAGCTGTCTTCGAGATATTGAATTGAATAGCGATTCTTCAATTTATTTATATTCAATTTATTGTTAGAAAACTTCAATTTTCTAATAATAAATCAAAAAAATCCCTCCATTTTCGTACAATGGAGACGTTCTAATTTTTTGTGGCCATATTGAATCCGCCATTTTGAATTTCTTCGGGTGAGATATAAGTTCTTTAGAGTTGGAATCAATTTATTATTGTTAGTGAATGTTGAAATTATTATTTTCAGATTTAAAAAAAAATTGAAACAAAAAATAGCTTTACAACTCCTTTCATTTGACCTTGAAATCAATTTTCAAGGTCAAACAGTCTCTAGGAATTTTCTCACTACTTTTTTCTTATATAATACATCAAATTTAACCTAAAAACAATAAATAGTTTGTGTTATCAGGGTGGTCGATATATAGACCACCCCCGTCCTCTAAAGGTTAAAAGTTAAAAAGTTGGAGTATTTACGTCACCCCGTGAAATTATATTTCCCCCGTAAAATTATAATGTCAAAATTATGGAAATATATATTGTAATTGCCAAAAAAATTTTTTTACTTACTTCCCCGATTTTTTTCAGAATACTGAAATTGAGGTTTCTGAATCAATTTATTGTTATTTAACACGTCCTTGTTTTGATCATTTTGCGTGTTATCTAAGTAACCAATTTCCATCGAGGTATTTGGGTCATCAACATTTACATCTACAACAATAAAATTTTATGAATCTGCGACCGATATTTATAGGATGATATTCACAGTCCAATCTTATTACAAGAATTGTTAATCTTCAAGCGCTGTAGGGCTCGTTTTATTGGCTAAAAGATATCTGGAGAGATACTTAAGACGATCTTAAGAGATTTCACTGTAAATATCAATTGTAAATATTGTTTAATTTTATATTTAAAACTGTTTTAATTTCATCTTTAGATCCAGTTAAAGTCGTTTTATAGACTCATAGTATCTGAAGATAAACTTCATAGGTTACTTAGCATTTAAAGATAACCTTAAGAAAGTTTTAGATATAAGATTGGGTTATGAATTTGTCGCTGTATGTATAAAATTCAAATTTGATTTATAAAATACCTTGTTCAAAATCTTGAATTATTTTTCTGGATGCTATTTCTTCATAAATTTCGTCATTGCAAATTTCCACAGTCGTCACCGTTATGTTGTTATTATCTGAGTGTTCATAGCCTGAATCACTACTATCACTTTCATTGATATCACCTCCTTGTGCTACTTCTAAATATTGAGGTATTTCTAAGATTTTTTTTTCTATAATGGGTTGTCTATAGTGAGTCAAATGTATTTTGTCGGCATGTCCCATGAAATTTGCAAGCGTTGAGATTTCATTCTCAGATAAATTATAATTAATACATATTGTTGCTATATGTTTCCGTAATTCCGTTGCACGAATAGTTTCTGGATTTTCTGCGCCGCTATCTACTGCATACTGCCGTAATAAATCACACGCTAAAAGATATCTGTTTATTTTTTTGAAGCGAAGGAAGACCAAATAGATATGGATTTTTTGAGGAAACTTTTGCAGCTTTCCTATGCTTTAAAATCATTTCGACGCAGTCTTTTAATGCTCCTGTTAGTAAGACTGGTACCGTTCGACCCAGTTTTCCTCTTAAGGTAAATCTTACGTATTTCTTAGCTATATCTTTGGCACGTGTTGAGAGCGTTTTATACATGTCATTTGTTTGATAATTAATCCCTTGATAAGCCTTATAATCGTCGATTAGAGTCTTTTGTATTTCTCCAGCTCTACGCCGATTAAATATTTGTATTGAAGTTAATGTTGCCTTCGTTAGTGAAAGCCATGCATCGTAAGAAAACTTTCCTTTCAAGGAATTATAAGCTGTTTCCCGTTCTTCTTTTAGAAAGTTATGGAGTTTAATAATATCTGACTTAGAGGGTAACAATATTTTTTTACGTCTTGCATTTCGGCTCATTGTTTTCGATATTGTTTTTGATATACGTGTTGCAAAATCTTCGGTAAATACTTTCAAAAAGTCTTCAGCACGTAGTTTCTTTTCCTCGTCTTCTTTTCTAATAAATCGATTAATTAAAAGTTTACCGATTTCTTTTAAATACCAAATCTCCAAGCGCAGACGCTAGTGATGGAGTTTTGTAAAACTTTGCATATAATGATAAACCGGCTAAAGTATTAATTGCTTCAATGCAAACATTACTGTATCGAGGAAAAAAATGGAAGTAAAATCCATAATTTCGGAACATTTACTTTTCAATGTTTGGAGTAGGCGACCCAACCTTCTTATTTTTTGTCTTATCATCGAATCATTATGTTCTGACGTTTTATATTTTTTGCATTGTTGATTACCGAATGCAATTATTAACTCATCATAACGTATAATTTTTACTATATCGTCTTCCTTTAAAATTGGGAAAACTCGTATTCTTAAAGCATTGCTTGCCTCACTATGTATACGTCCTATTACTTATCTTCCTAAAACCGATATCGATCTACTATCTTTACCTTTAATCAGAATGCATTTTTTATAGTGATGTCTACTTGTAATCCTCAAAACGAAAGCTTTACATTTTGGTCATACAACATAGTCAGAAGGCAATCTGTAATATTTTTTTTTTGAACGTCTCTCCACTAGTAGTTCTCCATCGTTTCTTGCACAATCAACATTAAAATAGAAATCTCCACGTCTACGAATCGTCTCTATGATCTGTCTTCGTTCTGCAGTCCCTTTTGGTAAATTTGTGAACTTTTGTACTTCTAATTTATTAGTATGTACTCTTTCAAGATGACGAGATATTTTGCTCTGAAACGTATTGCAATATATACAAAAATGTTTTTTTTTCCTGCACCAACTGATGTAACAAACATTTCAGCGTCATCCCGAGCACATTTGCCAGATACGTTTAATGACATTGATATGTCTAATCCATTGGAAGTATTTGCTGAACTGTTAGTTTCTTTAACAACATTTGTTGTCTCGTTTTCCACAGGTTGAGCAAAACTTTCATCAGAAGTATTCGATGATATATAAGATGGATCTTCATCATAAATATTTCTTGAAGTGTCTTGAGCAATAGCATTATTATTAAAACATGCTAAAAAGAAAAAATAATGAATCTTTGTATTGTGATATTGATATGTCTAATCCAGTGAAAGAATTTGCTGAATTGTTAATTCCTTTACCAACAACATTTGTTGTCTCGTTTTCCATAAGTTAAGTAAGATTTTCATCAGAAATGTTTGATGATATATAAAATGGATCTTCATCATAAATATTTCTTAAAGTTTCTTGAACAGTAGTATTATTATTAAGGCATGCTAAAAAGAAAAAAAATGGACCTTTGTATTAAACCTTACTTTAAAAAACTTAACTATTTTTTGCTTATTCTTTAAATTTTTTGGAGTTAGACTCATTCCAAACGCGTGAAAACTTATTCCAAGTAAGTGAAAATACTGCTATTCTAATTTAAGAGAGAATGGCAGCATTTTCACTTTTTTCACTCCAAGAAATTTAGAGAGTATATATAAGAAAATATTTAATTGTATTTATCTATACAGGATGTCTGGAAAGTTGACAAAACGACAGTGTAAAGATAGAATGGGTTAAACTGAATAAGATTGTCATACTATTTAGCAAAAATCGC